AAGAAATACAAAAATTTGCTTTTTCATTTAAGTAGTAAGATAAAAATAATATAATTTTAAAAATTAAATTATAAATCGACATGATTAAAGATTTATTGTATCAAAATTTAGTTTTAATGATGTCATCAATTAAATACCCAGACTTTGAAAAAATCTAATCCCCCAATCAACCTTAATTATAGATAAAATAATTTATTGTAAATAACGATAATATAAATTCTAAATTTCATGAAAATTTATAATAAGCTTCAGCTTTTATAATGTGTAAAGCCGTATTGTGAGTATTACCTCTTATATTAAATACCTAAAATTCTTAAACTAACTAATCTGGAAAATGTATTTTGATTATGCTACTTGCATATTCACTTTCATAAATTTTATTTTTTTCTTCATTTAAATTGGCAAAAATATTCAAATTGTAATACCTGAATTATTAGTTATTAAGATAGTCAAATTCCCAAAGCCAAATTTTTAATGTATTTAGTAAATATTTTTACATTAGTTTTAGTTTAATTGATTAGGTATAGTAAAGACAATAGGTGTAACTTACTCCATCATCTCTTATAGTATACACATCATCTTTTAAACAAGAACCCTTATTCCCCTAATTGAAAATTGCACCTTATATCACTGATCCTGACTACTAGTGTAGCACCTTCTTGTAATTTCCCTTCAATATTAATTACTGTTATTTTAATGAACTTATGCAATCCTACTAAGTGATTTAAATTAAGTATAAAAGTATTATAAGAGTTAATCCTTTCTTCATAAATGTAAAAAATTTTATTAATTATTATGATAACGATTAAATTGAGGTGTTAGAGAAGAAAGGTTTGACTTCAATAAATAATAATTTTTGAAGCTGACCAAATTATCAGATCTTTTTGAAGAGATATAATGCAAAGAATTAATTAAGTGTAGTTGCCTGAAATTATTAGTATAAAAACACAAGATCAAATAAATGATTATGAATTAAGTAAGGTTGGAGTAGATTTAGTATATTTATTTGTTTGGTAGAAGCTCAGGTATAAGGATATATAATTTATAACTTTTGAATTTTGAAAAAATAGTTCACTTTTTGAGAGTATAAATTTAATAAATAAAATAAAATAAAATATGCAATCAATTAAAGATAAAGTTTTGTTTTGATCAGAAATGTATTGTTTAATTCTTACAAATATACATTAAATTATATATATATTATTATAAAAAATTGGTATTTGAATTATGAATTTCCAATTTCTTTAAGCAAAGATATTTTATAGAAATAAATGATATGATATTAAACTCATAAATTTTATTCTTTAAACTCAACAAAATTATTTATGTAGATTATTTCCTTTTCAATGGAATCTAATTTTATGTGTTATTCCTCAAACAATATTGGGATTATTCAAAGATTACTCCTATTTCTTAGCTGTTTTATTTTTTGCTTGAAAATAAAGGCCTGAATAAATACTTATTATAATACTCTATATAAGATGCTAGCTACTCTATTTTTTTGAATTCAAGAATATCAAATTAAACATGTGCATTAATGATTGTGTATCTGATGGATATAAATGTATTTAAGTAGTTTAAAAATGTTTTCATTTATCTAATATCCTATGCATGTATTAATCCATCCAAAGAAGAATCTTTTATTAGGAAGTAAATAACAAAGACCTGCAAATCAATATAAAACACATTATAAATGTTAAAAAGCAAAAAGTAATGTAAACCCATTCAAACTACTTAATTTTGATTGTAAAATGGCTCTAACAATGAAAATTTATGTTTATATTCATTTTTTAGTTCTCCATTCTAACCAATGAATGGAAAGATGCTTGTCATATAACAATAATCAAAGATGTTATAAAATCATAGCAGGTAAATAATGTGTTTCCAATTGTACTCATTGTATTGCTAAAGTATAATGTTATACTTATTAAACTCTTATAGCTTGCTAAGGTGGAGCCATTAGTAAAAATTCAATCATTTTTACATTCATCCATAAAGAAAATAATTGGTACTTGCAATACATTCTCTTAATTAGCAGATGCAGAAAAAGATGAATTTATATGCAAAATTAATCCATGTTATTATTGCAATATAATAAATGTGTTGATTTAACTTGGGAAAACCTTTCATCTGGTTTAAATTGAAACCCAATACCATGTTTCGATGGCATATTTTTAACTAATTTCTATTCATAATACTAAATATATTTAATAGAAAAAATCATAAGAATAGAAACCAATTATTTTGTGCATAAATCGTGTTTTTCTCAAATTATGAATGTTTAAATCCTATTATTTGAATTGGTATATGTAGTCTTCTGAATTTTGGAATTCTGCTAAGATTTGTTTCTCTTTTATATGTTTAGCAATTCATTACTTTGATTCACTCAATTAAAAAGGTTATAATTTTTTGAAGATTCA